TTAGATGGCTGTTTGCAACATTAACAAAATCAAGGTCCTGCCCTTTGGGTTCAGGAATTGTTCTGTGGGGTATAGGAAGCGGATTCCAATTCCTTTTTCCCAATTTCCCACAAATTGTGGGGTTTATAAAGGTAGGTTCTTTTGCAATTGAATTGGGCAAACTAGAAAACTGACGAAATGGGAACTTATTCATACTTTTCCTACTGTACCATATACAGAGCTGGATTTTCAGAAATTGAACTTCTTGGATCAATTGGAGGGTTGATATCAAGTTTTCACCTACTGATTCAGAAAACTGAAATGAAGTGGAGCTGGGTCTTTGATGAAATCATTGGAACAAAGAACATGGAAGTGGAGTGGAGAAAGGAGCATGAAGACCCACTAAAATATTCGAATGTATTCAAAGAGTATAGCCGGCCGGGTGGCGATATTATTGAAATATTCGAATGTATTGAAAGAGTCTAGCCGGCGGCTATACCATTAAAATATTACAATGTATTGAAGGAGTATCGCCGAACGGCTGTACCATTAAAATATCCAAATATATTGAAAGCGTATAGCCGATCGGCTGTACCATTAAAATATCAGAATGTATTCCAATGGTATAGCCGCGCGGCTATACTATTCAACTGTATTGAAAGCTTATAGCCGGGCGGCTGTACCATGAAAATATCCGAATGTATTCCAAGAGTATCGCCGATCGGCTGTGCCATTAAAATATTAGAATGTATTGAAATCGTATAGCCGTGCGGCTGTACCAGTAAAATATTCGAATGTTTTCAAAGATTATAACCGGTCGGCGGTACCATTAAAATATTCAAATGTATTGAAAGAGTACAGCCGCCGGCTGGACCATTAAAATATTCGAATGTATTCCAAGCGTATAGCCGGGCGGCTATACTATTAAAATATTCAAATGTATTAAAGAGTATAGCCGCTGGGCTAAACTATTAAAATATTCCAATATATTAAAAGAGTATAGTCGTACTGCTATAATATTAAACTATTATAATCAAAGAGTATTGCCGCTCGGCTGTACAGTTAAATTGCGAATATATTATTTAACGTGTATAGCCGCACGCTATACTATTAAACTATTCGAATATATTAAAAGCGTATAGCTAGCCGCGCGGCTATACCATTTAAATATTCGAATATTTATTTTATTTCGAAAATATTTAAACAGTATTAGCAGCTTTTGTTTATTCCCCAGAATCTTGGGCTGCAAGCTTCTTTTGCAATCCCACGGACTCTTCCCCAGGATCACATATATGGGCAGAAGCTTGCCTGTCAGATAAAGTTGTCCCTTCCATGGTGTCTATATAATCCTGTAAAAGGTACAACCATTTTGAATTAACAACACTTAAACAATAAAGCATTCAATTTTCCAAAACATGCAACTAACTTAATTGCTAAACGGCACAATTTTCTGAAACCCTCCTTTGCCTTTTGTTTTTGAGAAGGAACAGAATGATGGGCCTGAGTAAGAATTATGTCCAGCAAAGCAGTCTTGTTTCTGATGAATTTTCTTTCGTTTACCATCATTAGCTGAGAAGAAAATTATGTTTCCTTGTGTTCTTGAAAGATTTTGTAATTATTTTTACATTGCGGAAGTATACATTTTCCCTTGTTCTGAAATGGTATATATATTTACAGAACCTCACTTCAAAAAGAAAACGGTATATGCACTTTAGGAAAACTAAGATAACATGCAATCACCCCTAAAATCACAGAAATGCTCATTTTGAAATATGAAGATTTTATTATACATTCGAAGAAATCAAAGCTCATTTAAAAAGTACAAGGAAGATGATAAGGTTGCATTATTAGTGTGGCATAGTTTTATTTTTTCCAACGATCATTTTAATCTTGTCTCTCTGTCTGTCTTTTCTAGCATTGTAGTTTCTGGTTTTGTACAATGCAACTCTTTTCCCAACTCTGTCACTTGATGATGGGCTTGAGTAAGAATCCTTGTGTTTTAATGTAACTGTACTTAATTTTACATTGCAGAAGATGTACCTTTGTTATGAAATTAATAGATTTGTACATTCTTCACTTAAAAAAGGAAAAAAGGCAGAGAAAATACTGCTCCAAATTGCATGGATAAACCATCACAACATCAAATACTTAGATCAAGTTATGATGATTATGCGTGCACAAATAGGAAAACAAATATGAAGAGACATACAGTCAACCCTAAGACCACAGAAATGCCCCAGCAAGTCTTCCAACACAAGCTCATCGGAGTATAAGAATTGGATGGTTTAATCTGCAGCTCAAATCACACTAAAGTCAGAAGTTTTTTTTATTTTTTGAAATTATGTACCTGCACTTGACTTCTTGTTAATCAGCATACTGTAAAGTCAGAAACAAGTAAAACGTAGAGCATATCAGCAAATAATCAGCATACTGTATTCTCATTTGGTCATGCCGGTCTATTTCTACCACATCAAATAATATTCCTGAGGCTTCTGCAATATTACCAGCATACTATTGCTAGAACAAGAAGAAGCCCATGTAATAAGATATGTTTAATATTCCAAAACCACCATGAGGATTCTGAAATGACCATGAATCTCTATCATATCTTCAGCAAGAAATTTTAAAAAAAAATAGTCTGAGTAATGGCAGAAGGCATCTTCTGGTACTCTTTCTCCATATTAAATGAAATAAATTACCTCAAAGATTCATAAACTAGTGGAGGGATCTAGTAGACAGTAGATTGTGAAATTATTCGCATACATTTTTAGCCAACGAGATTATCAGCATACTTTAAAGTGCAAAACAAGTAAGAAACAAGGTGAAGAGTAGTAAGGAAATCCACAAGGAAAAAAATAGTAACAAGCTCTGCGAGTTCATACTTGAACTGCATCAAGTGGTATCAGAGCGTCCTTTCTGCATTTTGCATCCTTCCTTGAGTTTAAAGCAAAGAGCTCTCACATAGCAGATGCTGCACGTGCCCTGGACAAGGCAAAAATGATGCACTTTGATGAGAAAAGTAGCAATAAGAGGGTGTAGTTTCGTTTATTCTTTGTATGTATAAATAAGAGGGTGTAGTTTCGTTTATTCTTGTTTTAAGTGAATTACACCCGTCATTGGTGATTAAGGCGCAACAACCCTAAATCTTCTTCTAAGAAAACAAAATCACGAATTCAGGTATGTTTGCTAAACGAAGCTTTTTTCTTTGGTATTACACCTTTGTTTGCTAAGTTTGAATAGATCAAATATTATTAATATTTTTTAATTAATCATACATGATTCTTGTATGTTGCATCTCAACAATACAAATATTTCCAGATTGATAAGCTTGTGTACCTTACTGTTTTGGGTTCTAAAATTTTTATCTTCTCATAAAGTGTTTGAAATTACCAAGGATCAAATGCATCTAGTTTTTTTTTTTTTTTTTTGGTGTTCCGGCAGGGTTGTATCAAGCTCTTTAATTTATATATTTTAATTTTCACTGGAAACCACCTCCTTCATCGTTCTCTCTCTAATTACTTTTTATTTTTTATGCCTTTTGTTTTTAGATTGGGCAAGCCTATGTCACAATCTTTTGGACTTAGTTTTACAGAGATTAATCTCTCCAACTGACTATTTGCGGGCAAGTCTTGTTTGCAAGTCATGGTATGGTGGAGCAAAGAATTACAAGGAACAATTGGCTAAAATATCAAGTTGTGATCGTTCTCCTCCAATGCTCTTAATTCCTACCGGCAAAAATGGTATATGGAGACCATTCAATGTCATGGATGACAGGTTATTAGTTTCACAATTAAAATTGGGGAAGAGGCGCTTTTGTGGGTCTTCAAAAGGATGGTTAATAGCAGTAGAAAAGGATTTCACAGTATCCCTAATAAATCCATTCTTTAGGTACAAAGGTACGAGGATGAAAGAAAATTCAATCATTCGCCTTCCTCCAATAAACCCTCCAAATTTTAATAAACACCACTGGGCTATGATGAGTGACCATTTTGCGGTCAAGGCCTCAATTTCAACAGATCCCATATTAAATTCAGCCGATTGTATTGTTGCAGTCATATATGAGGGGTTTTTGTGATTGGCTTTCATTAGACTTGGTAAAGAGAGAACATGGATTTATGCCGATGGAAGGCATACTTTGATTGAAGAAGTTGTTTTTGTTGAAGACAAATGTTATGCTGTTGATAATAGGTAATACCAAATGTTATCTTTTGATGTTACTACTCGCTCTAACC